CGAATACATGTGTGCTTGTATCAGCCGCTCGCTTAACAAGCACGAAGCAAACTACAGCAGCTACAAGGGAGAGATGCTGGCCGCTGTGTGGGCTGTGAAGATGTTTCGGCACCACCTGATCGGCGGCCCTCCGTTTAGGCTGATTACAGACCATCAGCCACTGCTGTACCTGATGAGCTCGGAGGGGCTTACAGGACAATATGCACGCTTTGCACTAGCGTTGCAGGAATATAATTTTGTCATCGAGCATCGGCCGTGAATTAAGCATCAGAACGCGGACACCCTGTCCCGCAACCCCACGCCAAGCAAGGCTGACAACACTGGCGCCCGGCTTGATGAGGATGAGGAAGTCGGGGAGTCCGCACTTCTCACCCCGGCCTTCGCTGCTGCATCCGTGCGGGCAGCGTGGGCTGACCATCAGCTGGCGTGCGCCACTATCCATACAGCAGCATCTGTTGCCCCATTCAGTGACACCTTCTGCCCCAGCCCGGAGGAGAATCTCTGTGGATGGAACGGTTGGTATTTTGAGTCGCTTGAGCCGCCTCCCGAGGCCGAAGATGCTCAGCGAGCCGCAGCCCGGACCCAGCTGCAAAGCCTCGCAACTGAGTGGCTGTCCGCTGCAAAACGTTCCGGTGGGATCAGTCCCTCGGTGCCTACAGACCGTGACACCCTGAAGGTTTCAGTGGGAGCCCAGTTCTTCCCACTGGCCACACAGAAAGGAGTCACACTTTATGAGCCGCTAGGCGGCATGTGCGCGGGCCTTGAGGCCTGTCTGCGCAATGGAATTAGGGTCAACAAGTATCTGTACTCGGACGTAGACCAGCATGCAAGGATGGTGGCAGCCGTGCGATTGCCAGCACTCAGCGCTGCCTATCCCCAGTTATTTCCGCTCTCAGCATGGAGCGATACATTTATAGCACTGTCTCAGGACGTCCGGCAAGTCACAGGTCCGGAGCTTAGGCTGGCAGGAGCCCAGGAAGGTAGCCTATGGTTGGTTATCGCGTTCTGGAACGCTCAGTCAGCTGACGCAGTGCCAAAGGTTCTCAGCGTGATAAACGAGCTTCAGGCGCTCGTTCCTTCACCTCGACCGGCCTGCATACTTGGCTGCACATCCCTACCGCTTTCAGCCCAAACACCCGAGTCCGAAACAGCCGAGAAGGGTGCTGACAAGATGTTTGGGAAAGCCACCCTTACCGATGCTGCACGCTTTGGCTCGTATTCACACTGTCTTTACCAGTGTTGGAGTAACCTCGCGTCGCCCGAGGAGTTCACCTGTGTCCTGCAATCTGCAATCCGGCCCGGCGGCAGACAACTCCAAGACGTGCTTAGCAGTGAGCATTCAGCACCCATCTCCGCGCGTCAGATGCGCGATCCGTACTACCCCTGTGACCATGCTGGAAAGCCCGTCCGCGCGCTTTATCCAGGTTCAGTGAGGCAGCGTGGCTCGGATGTTGTGGGGACTGTCACCACTCCGTTGTACAACAGTATCACCGCTCAGTACGATTCCCTGTATCCCGGGGAGTGTGACCTCGTGTTGGGTTATGAGGCAGGGGCGTCAGCCGCTCCTGGCCTAACAGATCATGCTCGTCTCTCTGTGCTGGCCAACGCAACTGACCAGGCACTTATATCCAGTGTTGTTGCAATCCTGCGCGCCCTGGCGCAAGATGCCAAGGCGCAAGCCTTTGCCGCAGCATCGTGCCGATCCGTCGTGCACGAGCGTGCTTACATCTCGCAAGGGCTTGCCGTGAGCGTGGCCTCTCACCCTCTTAGTGACATGGGTGGGGCCTCTATGGCGCTGGCCGTGCATGCTCAAGATCAGACTCTCAGTCCCGATGCCCGGCGTCAGGATATTTGGGACGACGAAATCACGATTTGTCTTCTTCGCTCAGGCGAATGTCCACCTGGCACCGACCTGGCAGAGCAAAAGCGTTGTGCTCAGCGCGCATGCAAGTACCGTTTCCAAGGAGAGACACTCTATCGCATCGAGAACGACGGCAAGCCACGCGTCGTTCCTAAACCTGGTGACCGCACTGACATCATCAAGCGCACCCACGAGCAGGCTGGGCACTTCGGGGTGCGGCGCACTACTGCGCTGCTTCTCACCAGCTACTGGTGGCAGGGGATGCACGACGATGTGGCTTCGGTGGTACGTCACTGCGCAGCCTGCGATCGTGTCAACACCAGCTTTTCAGCCAGGGCGCTGGAGCTCAACCCGCTGCCAATATCGGGTTTATTCTACCGCTGGGGTTGGACCTGTGTGGTCCATTCAAGAAGACCCCCAGGGGGTTTACCTACGTAATGATTTGTGTGGAACATTTTTCTAAGTACGTGGTTCTAATTCCGCTGCCTGACAAGCATGCTGAGCAGACAGCGTTCGCCTTCCAGCACCACATTTTGGGCCGTTATGGGGCCTGTGCTGAGGTATGTACAGATCAGGGCAGTGAGTGGAAAGCTGAGTTTGCGCAATTGTTGATTGATTCGTTGATAGATCATCGTCAGACCTCTGCGAACCACCCGCAAGCCAACGGACTGGCAGAGCGTGCTGTTCAGACTTGCAAGAACGCGCTCCGGCGCATTGCACATGCTGGCGGTGGAGTTGAAGAGTGGGACAAGCATCTGCCGTACGTCATGCTGGGCTACAACTGCTCCGTGCAGTCAGCATCGCATGTTACGCCGTACCACGTCATGCACGCCGTGGAGCCCACCATTCCACCGGCGATTAAGCAGCTTTTCGAAAGGGACGTGAGTTTGGATGACCCAGAGGCGGCGGCAAGGTCTATTATGCAACGTGCTGCCGCGCTTCGTCGACATATGGCCGTGGCGGGCGGCAACCTACTCATTGCGCAGCATCGTGACACTCTTCATTATGCATGCATGAGGGGCGGAGCCGTTTTGCCGCGTTTGCGTCGTTTTGAAATGGGTGACTACGTGTATTATCGGAATACCTCCGCTCGCGCCAGTTTGGATCCTCACGCCAAGCCGGATATTCTGCGGGTTACTGAGGTGAGGCCCTCCGGGGTGTTGGTGCTAGAGGGACGCTGTGGCAGCACGCTTACTGCCCACGTCAGTCACTGTGCGCCCTGTCATTTGCCCATCGATGATCACGTGGTCGACCCGCGATTGGCTAGGCCATCTCCAGGGCATCCCTGTGAGGTGTGCAGATTTCCTGATGGTGAAGAATGGATGTTGTTATGTGATGCGTGCGGCACTGGATGGCACACTTATTGTCTTAAGCCGCCTTTGAAGGAGATACCGGAGGGCGCATGGATTTGCCCAAAGTGTGAGTCGAAAGGAGTTAGTGCTGAAGCTTTGGAAGGGAAGTCGTCCGAACCTGCACGGGGTGCAGCTCCCGAGCCACCCAAGTACCTGCGCGACCTCCAGGGCGTGGCTGTTATGAGAGAGTCTAAGGGAAGAGGGCGTCGCACCACCCGGTCGCTGGGTGTAGCATCGTATGCTGGCCGCAGGGGAAGGTCCCACGTGTTTCAGGTGGTGTACGACAATGGAGACGTTGAGGTGGTTAGTGTGAGCGAGTTGTGCAATCGTGTAGCCCCTACACGCCCCTCTGCCAAGAAAGTGATGGCGGGAATCTCTGAGGCCAAGGAGCATCCGTGCTCGGGCCCGTTCGAGCTTCACACGACCAAGGGGGTCAGCCAAGCTTTGGCCCGTGTGATGCCGGGAGAGCACAGTCCAAGCAAAGTAAAGGCATTGGTGACCGCCGGATGTAAAGGTATCATGAGGAAGGATCTTGTGAGGGCTGAGGATGTTAGCATTCTAACGCAAGCCGTCGCAGTTGGTTGTGTGGGATCAGTGTTTATCCCTTGGAAGTGGGATGAGAAGGCAATGCAGCAGTTGCGGGAGGGTGCCTGCACCGTTCGGTATATGCCCGACAAGGCAACCCTCTACGCGGCCCAGCCGCAGAGTTTTGCAAAGGCTCTTTCTGATGGAATCGCCATGCCAATCATAGGGTTGGATATCTCTGAGGAAGTGATGGATGTGGTGTTGCCGGTGGCATGTCAGCATGCTGAGGTAGCTGTCATCGCTGCTGTGCCGCGCACTTATATCACGCAGGCGGATCCGGCACGCTTGCATTGGCTCCGTGCTGTGCAACGGGACGACCGTTTGAGTGTTTTGCAAGTAGGAAGTAAGTTTTGGTTGATTGTGTTCAGCAATGCTATGTGGAAGCGCGCCCTGGTTAAGGACACAACGCGCGCCGTTCAGTTACTTTAGTGCCTTTTTGGGTGGTCTACCGCCAGCTCACCCAGCGCAATCCGCGCATGAGCTGGGGGGGGGGAGTGATCCATCCGCATTTCTTATGTCTGTTAGCACGTCATATGGCGTGACAGCTGTCACGCCAAAACATCTGGAGCGCACAAATTACGTGCCACGACCGAGTTAGTCGCTATCCGCAGGTGGCTAAGCCAACCGAAGGTAGTAAGGCGAACCGCGTGTTGATTTATTTGAGACTTTGGGTAGCGTATAAGGCGCTTTCCGTTGTGATTTGAGGATGTTAGGTTGTCGTTCATCTGTCGTTAGCTGGATGAGCGTTACGCATCCAGGGTAGGGCCGGGTGTGATAAGGCCCGGCGTGGATCAGTCGGTGCTTCGCCATAAATGCGAGTGCGAAGAGGCCAAACATTTGTCGTTTGGCTCTCGAAGCAACTCTTCGTGAGCGTATAGACCATTATATTATTGAAGATAATATAATCATAGGAGGGTTGATAGGACTGTTTTGGTGTAACAAGACTGTGATCCTACCCTACCTCGAGACGCGCATCAGAGCAGGATAGACAGAGAGTGTACACACAGCATTCCATAAGGTCCGCCCTTAGTGCTCATACCTCTAGGCTCGACAGGGATCCGTTCCCAGCCCGTCCTCGCCTACTGCGATCGCGCAAATCAAGTTAACGAGGCTGGAGTGAGCCAGCCAAGTCAAGCCGGAGCTTTAAGGAGAGCTCCTATCGTATTGTATCATCATTAACCCATTATAACCCCATTTGAACGCTACAGCCAGTTCCAAGTGTGATCCGTCTGCAGTAGCACGGAGCCGTCAGGCCCCCCAAAGGCCAGGGAGGCCGCCACCACAGCCGGGCCCCCCGTGCTGTTGCAGTGCAACACAACCAGGTTGGGGCCAGGCCGCAGATTCGAGACCTGCAGGACAGAACGTTCTGGAAACACGGCTGTACGGCCGACTTCTTGACCGTTCACAAAGGCAGTCGCAAGGTCGTCCGCAATGATGGTGAGGTTGAGGACGGGCGTTGTCACAACACCTCCAAGGGCAGCCTGCTGCTGCTGTAGCTGCTCCGCTGACAGCCAGAAGGTCCGGTAGAAGGTGGTTGACTGCCAGGCGGACGCAATGACCCGTTGACCGAACGGCACGAAGGCTGTGGGCAGTGACGAGATCCACCTGACCTCTGTGTCGACCGGGAAGCCGCCATGTGCGAGCCGGGGATGGTTGATGTATGTGCTCACACCTTCGCAAATGCGCCATCACGAACCATGACAAAGCACGCACAGTAGATGTGCCGTACCGGCATGTTGTTGGGGAAGGAGGGGAGGTTAACCGTGAACACACATGCATTTGCTGGCATGTAATTTTTGATGTTTTCAGGGAATGTGCTCAAGGGAATGTGCAGGTAGTGGGGTAACTGGGCGCGGAAACGGCCACTCGATATGCTCACATTTTGCTTGCATGTGTATTAGATGGTGTGTGCCGTACTGCACGACAGATACTACAAGAAAAGGAAGGGAAACACATGCCAGCGGGCAGGCCGATGGTACGAACTAACATGCAGCAATATGAAATACACGTGGCAAGTATAGATGGTTGAAGTAGCAGTATCATTCACATACATACTGCAGCAACTGCAGTAACAGATAGACATACAGCAGTAACAGCAGCACAGCGTGCAGCGTGTACAGCTGCTAGCTACATACATTTCAGCACACGTCATTGATCTTACTTCG